TCAACGCGAGAGAATACATCAGTCGCGCGCGAGGCGGGCAGAGAGAGAGACGCGGAAACCGCGCGTGTGTCGCCCGAGCTCATGCACGCAAGGATCCGTTCGTCGCGCGACTCCGTTCCTCTTCGTGAGACGCAGAAACACTGCACACGATCGGCCTTTCTCCGCTCGATCCGAACCTATCGATCGATTGATGGACGACCACCCTTACAGTGAATCATGCTTGCAGCTGCGCTTCTTTTTCACGTAATCTCTATTCTTTTCCCCTTTTTTGTTCGATGACGACGCAGTGGGATTATTTTTTGAACTTCTAATGGAAACTTTTTTCTCTTTGGCACTTGAGTCACTTCACATGGAAGTCGTATCGGAGTGTTGGATTATTCTTTGGATTTCGAGTAGAAGCCTTTTTCTTTTTAATTATTGTTGAAAAGTTATTGTTGAATTCAATATTTCAGAAGGAATACGAGAATTCGAATCGTAACAGTGGTTACAAAGTTCCTGTAGATTTTAATTATCGCTTCAAGCTATAGGAAACGCAGATGAGATTACAGGCTTGAATGATCGTCGAGGCTACAACAGGTACTGCAGAATTCTCGGAAGGATCGCCGGAGATCGCGAAGGATGGATCGATCGAACCGTCGAACCAACTCCCTTTTCCCTTTGAGCCGCCGTTACCGTTCCGCTAATGAACTTTCTACGCGGATCGTGGGTCACGAGCGATCGGCGATGGGAGAAATTTTTTAATTGCTTCGTAACGGTACGCGGGGGCATACGCGATGAAAATATCTTTCGGGGAGGAGGGTGGGGAGCGCGTCGATGCTAACGGGAGATCGAAGCCGTCCCCGTTCACAGAAAATGGATTGGTTCGTGAATTATTCAGCGCGGCGATGAGAACCCGATTGAAATGTGGCTAATGCTGTACAAATTGCATCTTATGAATGGCGACTGCGGGGGGCATCGCCGTGAGAAGTATTCTCTTATTAGCGCTTTTCATTCGAGGCACGCTGGATTTTAAGCCTTTTCAGCTTGAGCCAAGTCGACGTTTCAAGAACAAGCAACGTAATCTAAGATTTTTACACGGAGCTTCGTTAATTACTTCGCCCGCCGGACTTTCCATTCGCAATTCAAAGTTATCGATCATTAAAACCCGCTATATTCTATCCGGCGAGACTTTCTAGAACCCGAAGTTATTAATTATTAATCGTCCACGGGCAAACCGTCCCGAAGCAGGCATCGGTCATTTTTCGTATCGTCGGAACTTTCTACCGGTCGAAGTTAACGACAATTAAAATGTGTGGACGGTTTATCCGAGCCCACGGTGACACATTTTCTATCGACGGAACAATGGAGAAAGTGAGGCCTAACACGTGCGTCGAGCAACCATTAATAAGATTCGAGAATTTTCCTTCTAACGCGAAGGTTCGTCGAAACTACACATTGTTCCTGTTCGGAGAGAAACACGCGGCCCATGACCGCCGCCGGCTAAGCTCGCGTTCACCTTCTTTATTGCGTTATCGCGGCAACGATTCGATCGCGGTCGTTGCTTTCCCTTAACGCGCCTCGATTACCGGCCGGCTCGTTACATTTTATCCAGATTTGCATATGGTAATCAGCCGGCGGGTGGGGGGAACAAAAACCCGTTGAACCTGCGCCACCGAGTTTTCTCGCGACACGCGGCGCAGGGATAATTGATCGTCGCCGGGCACGTCACGGAGGAATTAAAAACTGCCGGGGACCCAGGTGCGCCGGTTTACGTTTCACTTTAGCCTCCCCGGGCCCCGACACCCAGTTACATTACGCTCGCGCAACATTTCGCAATCGCAAAATCGAGAAATCAGCCGGTCGACCGACCCGGCCGGTTACCTTACCGCAGAATCGACGCCGCCGCTGCACCGTGTCCAAGGTTCTCGCGTTTTCACGAGGGGAAAACGGATCGTTAATGATCCCCGACCGGTCAGGACTACCGGGACTGAATTGGTTAAAACGGTACGGCCCTGGCCGAGCAATTTCTTCATCTAGTCGAATTTCGATACTTCCTGATACTACCGGTCCTCCGAATGTAAATGAACGTCTAGATACACGCTGTCGGACTATTCGTTGCATAACTCACGGATTGTTTATGCAATTTTTGTATATAACGAGGAGAAGAGTTAGATGGAGTTTCTGTGTTAATTGGAATCTCTGTTAGGTTTTGTTTATTAGTATTTGCCAATGTGTAGAGCACACAGCGCGTGGTACATAATTTTTAATGCTATTGTAATCACTCCTTCCTCAATTTACATATCTTCTCACAGTAGGTCTGTGTACTCCGAGATTTCGAATATGTATTCTGCAAAAACGTTTGTCCTCATCTAAACGACGAGGATCGCGTATACTTCTACGGATAAACTTCAATTAAGGAAAATAAATCACCCGAACGGTCGATTAATTCCCAAATACGCAGGAAGATCGATTCGTTTTTTCACGTCGTTAGTCACGACGTATTTCCAATGTCAACGTCATCCTCTCGCGGCGGGGATCGCTCTAACGTCTACTGCCCAAGAAAAAAGATATGATCTTTAATTCCACGTCACCAGATACGAGCACCGATGACCCTATCCTATCTCCCGGGTTATCAATAAGCCTGCATTTGGAGGGGAGGCGTGCAAAGGCTAGCGGATCGACCCAATAAATTAATCAGCGCAAGACGACGCGTTGCCCAGGGGCCGGGCGAGCATCGACGCCTTTCATAAAACTTGCAACGAGTATCGCAGCGAAATTCCGGATGGATGACCGATCGCGGCCGTCCGTTGATCGGCCATTATCGAAATCCCTGGGATTACATTCGGCGACGTGGAACGCGCGGCGAAGGAGTTTCCTTCGCTTGCGCAGAATGTCCATCGCGACGAGCAGCACCACGTGTATCTATATCGTTGGCGGGCGCGGGAGAGTGTCGGGGCTCAAACTCGTTTATCGTGTCGGAAACGATATCCCTCCCCGCGTGCGTTTCCGATATATTTTCATCCTCGCGGCCACTTCCTCCCGCGACTTCGTTGGTCCTTTAATTCGCGATAACGCGTACGCCGCGCGGACACCGCAGCATCGTTATCGTGCGCCACGTGCCGCGGCCGCACCTACACGCACGCACACGCTCGAAGACCGCCTTCAACTGCGTCTATCCCGGGACGAGTTAATGTCGGAGCCCGCGGCGCAGTTAGTTTCTTCGGTCATACGTTCGACATTAGTCGCGACAGAATTAAAATTCAGCGGGACGCGCGCGTACGAACCACGAACTCCCGACGTGTGCGTCTCGGGTCGGCCGGGTCGCCGTGTGCCCGCTAAAAACCACGCGCGGAACAATCCGCCGTGATACACACGGGGGCCGGCCCTATTACGGCTTTCGATCGAAAGGTGAACGTTTCCCGACGTACACGACAATGTACACGCTCTCGCTAGAATGGGTATAGCACGGTCGTTTAGATAACCGTGAGATTGAATAATGTCCCCGGCGGCGGAGGTAAAAGTTACGTAGGGCGAGAAGGGTCTTGGTTGTCAATTAGATCGCAGGGATTGATTAAACCGCGGCCGAGTTCGATATTCCGCCTGTGATTCACGTGGAACTCCAGGCATGGCGATGCTGATCGATATTTCTAATTTTCCAGCTATAAAAAGAATCGCTATTAACTCTAGGCGGACCGCCTGGTTTCATGCGAACGACTGGCGTGCGAATCTCGATAAAAGGAAAATTTTCGCTCGGGGCTCTATGAAAATTTTTACTTGATTTTTAATCGGCGCGTTCGCCAACCAGCCTGGTTTCTCTTTTATCGTTGCTCGCCGCTAGTTGCGAGGTGTTTAAAAAAAACGTTGCTCGTACCGTTTGGAACGTTCGAAAAGAATTTTCTGGTTACTTTTATACCTTCGGAATTTAGACCGGGGTATCGTTCTCGTTGTAGCAAAGATATTGTTTATCGAAAGTAGCATCCGAAATAAACGGTTATGTGCGCAGATAAGTTGCTCGTGGCTTAGTCATTCTAGGATTAAGAGCGTATACGCATCGGCGAATTCCGCAGCGAGTCTAGTAGCATCGGAAACGCGAGTAGTTATTTTCGGGTGCAGCATTATGTATATTCGGCGCGTGTTTATTATTTGCCTAGACTAAAGGCACGTATTCATGAGACCGTCCGTGAGGCCGCCCCGATCGGGCCAACAAAACTCCGCCGCCGTGTTACAACTTTCTGCCCGCGATAGCGTTACGACATATAAACAAACACGGCCGCGTGTAGCTGCGGCCCCACGCTGCCAACACGAAATTTGCATCATTCTCCCCTTTCACAGCCGACCTGTAGCATAAAGAGCCTCCACACGGAAGCGATAATGGCGCTGGATCGTTTATCTCTGTGCGCATGCGCTGTGCCGCTTCTGGTCGATGGCAGCACCACTACTTCGAGTATTTTAAATGCAATATTCATGCGACCGTGGTTTCACAGTTTCCTCGCAATCGAATATTACATTCCGACAGACAGATCGCCGATCGTAATAATAATCGAGTTTCGAATTTCTTTCGAGCATTATGCATACATTCAATTCGGTATTCATTACCGAGGATATTCCGAGAGAAATATTTTATTTAGGTTATATAAATACGAGTATATTCCTCAGTCACTTACCCGCCGCATAAGTGTCTGCATTATTCGCGTCACGAACCCAACCATGCATTCGTCTTTCATACTTGACATGTACAGGAATAAATGATTCAAACGACGCTGGTAACCAACCAACAAAGGGCCATTCATTCACCGCTCTCGCACTCGTCAATCTTTATCGTATTTCTTAGGAATCTTCGGGAAACGATCATCCACCGTGAGATCTTTACTTCGAACACTCCAGGTGAAGTCGGGCGATGGTTTGAACAACGGAGAACACAATTTATACGGAGGAACGTTCAAACTGCCGCAAGCGTCGCACACGCCATCTTCCCAAGTATCCAAGATGGCGCGTCGGTCGTGGTCGAACAGCTGAGTGGAGAGTGGAATATCTGTAGAAGCAGAGTGCACGGCGAGCAGACGTTCTGTTCTCCGTGCTCGGCCAGATCGGCAGTAAACAGCTGGCGACGCGATGCGTCAGAGCAAAATGTCGAACGGGACTGCGCCGAGCTAGTCGCTCCCCCTCCCTTAACGTCGTCTCGGGCATACAGAGGTACGGGAAAAAAGGTGGACATTCACGGACGAACGTTCGACGGGACTCGCGGCAGAATATTGACACCGGGCGAACGAAGAGAGCCCTGCGGCGACCAGCTCCGGGACAAGCTTTACGGGAAACGGGGGAAAATCCGCGGCGAAAGTGGAGTTTCTTTGTTCCTGCGTGAAACGTTCTCTGCGCATAGGTTTCCGTGGCTGTGGCGCAGCGTTGTTTGTTGTGGTCGGTACGTCACTGCTCTCTCGGTGTACACACAAGCTCGGTCTGGACAAGAGGAGAGCTCGACCCGACGACTGTGTCCCGACCGATCCCGCCGTCGACGGGTCTCGTCTGCCACACGGGACAGCGTCCGCGGCATAAAACGTCGACCATACTCGCGCTCGAGTTGAAACGTCCCGTCGACCAGCTCGGAGAAAGGATCGCTGGCCTTTCGTGTACGCGCGAGTGCTTTGTTTTGACGAGCAGCTGATCCGGGGACTAAGCTACGTTCGTCGACGATCTTCTTCTTTTTCGCCGTTGCAACGGGTGGCGCGCGGCCCGTCTACGAAACAGTTTTTTCCTCGCAAGTTGGTGATTCTCTTTTTTCCTCTCTATCAGAGTGATCGTCGGACTGCACCGCTTCATTCGACTGGCCGCCTCTGTGAATAGTGCGTTTAAAGGGATCGCCGAGCCGTGGCGAGAGAGAAGCTCCGTTACATCACGGAAAAACTGGAGGAGGACGCGCGCGATCGACCGATGCTCTCTCGTGGACACAACAGTCGCCAGCCTATACACCCGTGAACCCCCTCGATGACAGGCGGACCAACATAATCAAGAATTTTCTATTCGTCGATCCGGACAGAAATCCACGGGCTACCTCGGCCCGTGTCAATCGACGCTGTTCGTTTCCAAGGGATACTGCGCTCCCGTTCGTTCCCATCGACACCCAACCGGAACGAAGAATTCCTGCCGTCCTGTAAATAACGATCGACCAGATCGCGCCTCACGGTCCTATCTGCCGTGTTTTACCAACACAACCTCTAAATAGTCTCACAAAGGAACCGTACAAATCGACACTTGCCAAGATTACAACGTTTGTTTAGTTGCCGATGATATTCCGACGCTTATTGTGTCCACATTCGTTTTTGGATCTCCGACTTCGGTTTTTCCTCTAGGGCCAGCCGAAGCTAAAACCGATCGTTGTTACCAACCTATATTCACATTCACGCCTACACGCAAACATACACACGTTCACACACATACACGCCTTTACACACACGTATACCTATATAACGTGCACACATTAAACCGTGGCCGTATGCATCGGTTCTCTAGACGAAGACTGACGCTATCTGTCCTTGTCTAGACCGTTCTCAACGGGTACGCGCGGGATCACGCGATTCCTGCGAATACATACGTGTCACGAAAATACGGAAGGGACGCACGGACGGCGGGCACGACGTTCGTGGAGCGGATCCGCCGAGAAAGTATCCCGGCTGTGTTGTGAATCGACGACGAAACGGTTCGGTGGCCGTGATCGATGCGGCATAAACCCGTGGGGGCCGTGCTCACTCGCGCTGGCAAACCGGGGGTACGGCACCGATCGAGCTGACTGCTGGAGTCGACCTGAGGTGACCAAGGGGATTCCCGTGTCTCCGAGGACGGGTACTACCTGGCCGGGTGTGTAAGGTTCGCCGGATGCCAGTCGGGTCCTTGAGCCGGGCTGGCCGTTTCAATCGTGTCGTCGGACTGGAAGGAGCACCACCGGCCCGAAAATGCTGTACATATTCCACGTGGACACCGGCACCACCATCACCTTCGACATCAAGCTGGCGCTGCAGACGTAAGTGATCGTTAACCTGTTTTTGTTATTACCGCGCGGACCCGCGGCTCTACGCCTCGAGCGCGCTCTTCTTCTTCTGACGTTTCCGTTGTTTGTTTATTTTGTTCTATGCCATTGACTCGTTGACTGCTCTGTATACATCTGTGTGTTTGTTTTGTTGTGAATAGGTAGTACGCATTTAGGAAGAACGCATAGGAATGTCGGAGGTTTTTAGGGTCTGGTTGCGCGGAAGATAATAATGATTGGTCGCAGTAAAGTTTTGAACGAGAATCGTATGCTTCTGTTGTGTATGCCGTTTTTTGGCAGCCTGTTTGGTTTTGAGTGGATTTTATAAGGAGACCCGCGGGAATGAAGTAAACTATTGAAGCGTGTAACTAGAATGTAAATATTAAGAAGACTGTTTATGTGGCATCGGATAGATATGTTCTCATTTGGAACGGCGGGAATACTTGAGACTCCCACTCGTGGTCAATGTAGGTGGCCTAACAGCCGTTGGACACGTGTCACGAGACCTTCCTTTGCTCTCTAAAATTACCAAAAAAGTATCCTCTCACGACGCCTATTGGTCTAAAGAAAATAAACTGGAACGGACTGCGCACAGCGTTCCAAAAATAGGGAACCATAATTCAGTAGAAAAATAACCTACGGCGAAGGTGTTGAGCAACACCCCGTATATTACTCTCTAATATCCGATATCTATTATTCCCCAACTATAAATATCCCCCTCCATTCTCAGTCCATTCCTCTTTTGCGCTACACAGCTCGCACTCGACACCCTCCTCATTCACTTCCTTCAACCACTTGATCCGCACGCGGAATATTGAGTAATTGACGGTGCTTGAAGTATTCATTTTCCATCAAAGAATATCAGCCGCTGTCGTCTACCCGTCCAAACCGCGACCTTCCTTCTGTCAACACATTTTTCACGTCCCGCTCAAATGGCGGGACCAGTTGCGCGCGGAATCGTACACCATTCATCGGACATTCAATTAACTGTACCCTCGGGGGAATAAACGATGATCTTCGCAGCACGGTTTCTCTAATTCAATGAACGCGATTCGACGGTGATTTTTATTCAATGATCAGTCCGTCGTGCGTCCATGAAAGGTAAGACGAAATTGAACGCCGAGCATGTGATCGTGAAATTAAGGACATCGCAAATTGTCCCCGGAAATGAATACAGACAGGAATTTCAACGGACGTTGATTTAAAAATTGAATATTTTCGCAGCTCGTCCCCGGAGGAGTCCATTCATCGAAGATTCATTCGCATTAATGAATCCTGCTCTATATTTAGGACACCATTGCGCGAGGTATTCGTAAAACGTGTCATCTTTAAAGTACTCGGTAACTCAGATAGTATCCGCGCGATGAGAGTCAGTGATTTTAATGGTTACACGATGCGTACCGGTGATTTTGATTTCATAGGCAACTTTATAGTTACATTCTAGATGAATCTGCACGAAATTGCTCCACCTGTAAGAATCACTCGCGGATATTGCACAATTTCTTCCTGCTTACGAATTACCTGCACACGTTCGCCGCACGGTCTTCCTTTTTTCTTTCTCGAGCGTGGCTGCCTGTATTATTTATGATATCATAAAGGCGCGTTCGATATTATTCCCAGATTAGACTCCCTCGTTAAACTCCGACGATGCTTATCAGACCAAGCCTGCCTACGAACGTAGTTTCCCTGCCGCGGAAACTCATTTCTTCGCGCGCAGATATATGGTGAATATAGCCGTATCCTTTCTTGGCCGGTTCACGTGCTCGTTTTTTTGCGGATGCGCTGACCGCCACCCGAGAAAATCTCTCTTCCTTGACGATCTCCTTTGCCGGATACAGTTAGATCCGGATTAAATGCAGCGATTGTACCCTGAGTTAAGCGACAGTGGGCTGTGCGTCGACTCCTTTGTCTAATTCTAATGAGTAACGCTTCGTTACGGTGATTCACCCTCCTCGCTGTACGAATAATAGAACGTAGCGTACTTCCCGAATCAGTGATTACTATACCCTTCCGTGTAGGCTTGCTTAGAGTGAAGTTAGCAAGCTGTTATACAGGAAAATTTAGTAAAATACAATTGCGTCTCCTTTAAAAGAAGCCGGAACGCCTTTGTCTAAGTTCTCCTGATTCACAGCTGTATCCTGAGTTACTTGTAACAGGTGCCGACGCCCCTTTGAATTGCGCCGCAATGCATCGGTAATTTTGGGGGAGAAAAAACAAGTGCTTGAGACGTTATGGGATATCGGGGCACTTCTCGTCGAGCCGTGGTCGGGATCAGTCGCGTCGACGGAGAACGAATTTTCGTTTTATTGCGTTTTTATGTATTCATTTTTCGTGCAGTCGTGAGCCGACTATTTTTCTATTCATTAAAGCTACCTGAAATAGTAAGACTCATTTGAACACTGGCCTAAGTCTGCCGAATTTTTCCTGACACCTTACATACTAGAATTATCGTAAACACCTCGATGCAATTCTAAATCTTCACCGGAGAAGTTTCCTATTTTTCATACATTTCCAATCCTACCTTTCACTCGAACAGTCGCATCCAAGGTCTGGGTTACGACAATAACACGAAAACCGGCGACAGTTTCCTGGCAAGACTATGATGTATCCTCGCAGTCGGGAAACTTTTACGCGCGATTCGTATTCACCTCGATCCGCGCGCCCAGCCATAACTCTTCTAACGCGTAACATTTTCCCAATCGTCCACGCGATTGGTCGCCGTCAATCATTTAGCAACTCGTAACGCGAACAACGACACGGCGTGGAAGCGCCAAGGATCCGTCGAAGGTGAAGAAAATTGCAAAACGACGATCGATCTATTGCGAACGGATGTGGGCAAAGCCGTGCTCGAGAGGGGTTTTCTCTCGCTTCGCTAACGAGCGGGACGATCCTCGTTGCTCGCGCGCGGCCGCCGAGCAGGTGGCAACGAAAATAGTAATGGAATCGGCGCGGTGAACGTGGGCGGCCATCGGCTTGTGTCGCACACGAGTCTGACCCGCGGGCAAAACTCGGCCAAGTCCTTAATGCGTGATGCAAACGCTGCATCTCTCGAACCTCTCCGTGGCTTCGAAACGCTCGGTCCACTTTAGCACGGCTCCGCTGTTTACGAAACTTCTCGGAACTTCTTCCCCGCTCGCTCGTTAACGGTTCCGTTTTATTTCAATGTTCGCGAAATTCCCGGCGGTTCGAGCTTCATCGGCTTCGAATGCGCACGCTGCGAACGCATAAAATCCGCGAACCGCTGATCATTGCGTTCAGTCGAACCGAATGGAATTTGAAATGAATTGGCGGGATTGATTTTAATGCGAATTAATTTTATGTTTGAACTCCTTTTTGTAAAGTAGCTTCAGCTTACGGCCTGGTAAAATCTCGTAATGTATATTTCACCTTGTTTTAATAGAGGTCTTTATTACGAGATGATTTAAATATACAGAATCCGAAGATACAGTGGTTTTGGATCAATTCCGATCGCAAATCGTTTGCTCAAATCACGTCTCGCGACTTGGTTGATCTTAAAAACCAGTGAACTTATTGTGATAGTGTTAAGTCTATAAAGTCCGACGAAGATAAGCGTTGTAAAACATCCTCGGTGATTCGATCAACGAAGGTATTAGTTCGATCCGTTTCTTCTTTACATAGACTATCGTCGTCTTTATTTGAATTTCGACGCACACGGAGTTATCCGTGTCAGTTCATCCGTAATTTTTCGATCGGCGGACGCTCGCGCCGCTTGTCGCGGTTGAAAGAGCAAAACCGTCTGCCGATCGAACAAAGAATCGATTCCCGCGGCACCGATCGCTCACTCGATCGTTCGTAGCCAGCGCAACGCGCGAATCGTCTTGATACAGTTCCGTGATTTTATAGCGGGTTTCCCTCGCGAGCTTCTTGTAAATATTTACCGCGAGCCCCGAAGTATTATCAATAAACCTCGAGCCGCTGGGCTAGGTCGTAAAACACGTATCGTGGCGAACCTCACCTCTTTCGCGATAAGGTGGAACAGCGCCTTTCGTTCTCTCTGGTCCAGTAATGCCTCGCGGTATCAATGGCGATAGCGATACGCGACAAACGCGAAAAAGAGCGAGGCAGGTGATGAATTCATCGCTGCCGCGAAAGAGGGACGGAAGCGAGAGGAATTCCTGGATGAATTTCTGTTTCGCCCGCTCCATTTATCATCGCGACGATAGCGCGGGAGACCACTGGCGGCGATGGTAGCGGCGGTGGTGACGAGGATTGGGCGCAGACGAGAGAATTAAGTCGTTCGATTTACGCCGGTCCACGAAAACCTGTTCGTAACGAGCGCTGAGCGTTAAACCCGGAGAACTTTCGTTCCGACCTGATATAATGCATCGTATTCCGGCGCCGAGGGGAGCACGAACACGGTGTTAACGGTACGCGAAGCGAGGAAAAGTTGGCGCGGAATGAGGCCAACGTGAATTAGGAAAATAAAACCGGTAGGCGTGCAACTATCGCCGATGAAGAAAACGATTCCGCCGAGCGCGCTGCGCCCGCGCCCGTTCATTCGAGCCATTATCCTCTCGCTCGCTCGTTCGCTCGCGGTGCGTTACGCTCGGTGCACGCTCGGATTGGTAAACCAACCGCTTCGCGTATCCTTTGAGAAAAGAAAGTCCGCAGGATCATAGCCTGCCGCCAAGGCCCCATTCAAACCAACCGTCTCCTACTTATGTTACGCATCCATCTTCCTCCGTTCCCATCGGAAACCGATGTTCCGCGTTTTACTGCGCACCGTGCCATTTAAATATCGTCTAACGTTACACACCTCTTCCATTTCGCATCCCGTTTCCCCGCCGGGAACCTCGTGCATGCGTGTTCCGATTGATTCCCCACGTTAATTAGATGTTTCTGTTTCCGCGGCTGTCCGTGGAGTCGGACACCCTATCTCCTCTTTCGTTCGGTGTCGTGTTCCAGCGTTACGCGCGGAGACAGTTTCAATGTCGGCCGGGTGATTTATGGAGACACTTTAGCTGCGCGCGGCCCTTCTGTCTTTGAATTATTATCGTCATCGTCGGATTCACTGCGGAACCGATGAGTACGTAATCCGCTTTGTACCCGGTCGTTTCGCGAGTAATACGCCTCTTTTCGAGAGTCCCGTTTGAGAGGATAGCACTTGCCGCAACCTTCGTTCAGCTGTTGGCTACGTTACAAGTTGGAGCGTATTGAATTATGCCATACTATCTGGTAATTGGATAATTGGATAATTTCTGCTCCCCAAGATACTAATTCTAGGGTTAATAACAAATAATAGATCATACATTTAAATGGATATCGGTGGGAAAACCTTATTTCGCGTCTATAATCTCCATCGCATCATCAATTCATTAGAGCCGAGCGATCAACGCGTCCCCCAACGAAACTCTAATCCACCTCGAGGATTCTATTTCGATACAGAGTCCATTGATTCACCTCCGCTCGCGTGACGAGCGAGATCCCCTCAATGTCTCGAGACCGCCTTTGACTAGAGCGTACCGAGCGTTATGTCACACACGTTCCAGCTGTTCCGAACGGCCATTACGTGCGTAGAGAAGATCAGCCACGGTGATCCCACGCGTAGGAAAGACGCCGGCCTCTCGGCGAATACCTCGACAATATTTGTGCATTAAGATAGCGCGGTCACGCCGGTCACCGACCCCGTTCGTCGACGCAATTAACGATGCGTGTCGATCCGCGGCGGCGGCGGCGGCGGCGGCTCGCGCCCCCGTTGCTTTTATTTTCGCGACCGGTCGTAATTACAAAGTGTACCGCTAAACCGCGAAAGGCCAGTCAACGCCGCGATGTAATTGTGATTTATTCCGTAGCTGTGTGGTCGAACGCTTCGAACGGCCGATTCGGGGACTCGAAGTTGCGTCGGACGCGAAGCCCCGCGGTATCGCCGGAAACTCGTGAATCAATCCGGTGCCGCTCGCTCCGTCGTTGCTAATTAAGTCTCGTTAATGTTAGACGTGCTCTGTATTCCGTCCTCATCGGTTAACCGGCTTCGAGAGGCGCGGAGATCCTCGTTAACGCTCGCAGTTTTCCATTTTCGAACATATGATTGGACTGGATTGATTAGAAGAAGCGGTTCGACGAGTTTATGGCAGTAACTATATCAAGGATAGTATATCAAAGAGTACGATTTGTCATCGAGCAGGAAGAGGGTTTCGATATCGAAGTGATTGTAACTGTAAAGCGAAACTCTATAATGGTATTTGGCGTTTAGAGTAGTTCTCCGGCTTTCGGTCGGTGCAGCTGAATCAACTGGATCCAGAATAATAACGGCACGCTCCGCCATGTTCCACGTTCAAGTAATTATGAAAAGGTAGCAGTTAGAGTTCGCTCGTAGCACGCGAGTCCGAAGGAACGAAGTTTTCAGTCGCTGAAAATTAATCTACTTCGGTTCCATTCAATGCTCTAGAGGTTCTTCCTCCTCTCTCCCGTTATTACCACCCCCATTCCGCGCCGACAAACGCAGAATGCAGCGCGGAGGGGGGCCAGAATCCCGCAAAGAGCTTCCGAGCTGATCGTTTACTCGCCTGTCCAGACTATTTCAAGAGGTTTCCGCGAACACGGTTAGAAAACGACGCGGACATCCGGCGAAGAACTGATTCGAAACTTAATTAACGAGAACATTATTCACCTACAATATTACTCCGCTTCGTACGTTACTTTTTAGTTTTCTACGCGAAGTCACGGGCTACTTGGTCGCTCGGGTTCGTCGTAAAAATTCTATTAACAAGGTGTGGGAAGAATTACCAACGAAAATAGATATTTTCCGTGCTACGCCTACGTTGTCCGATAAACTCGATTGCAGCTTTCAATTAGCGCGAGACAAACTGAACAACAGTTATTTACTTCAAATACGATCTACCTTGAACTCGATAACAGGGTGTTGCAGTTTTAACGCTACGTCTTCACTATAAGATACAAGAATAATAAAATAACATGCACCGCGACGCGAGGAAGGCGTTGAGTAGCGGCAATAATGATCTCTAGAGATTTCGGCGGCGGTAACGTCCAAGTTTCCGCCATAAAGCGATTAAATCCCCGAAACGTGGCCAATACGTTGGTCTCGGTTCAAGATTACGAAACGCTCGTATTTCGGACCAATTGCCGCGGAGTTTTATTGCGAGCCTCTCCTCGTAACATTCGTAATTCGTGGCGGTCGCTGCGTCGACGGTGAAGGAAAGGAGGGAGGCTATAACGCGCGCGTAAAAGGAATTGGAACGAAGTTGTCGTCAACACCCTCGACGAGGCTAAATAACGCACAAGGAGAGCTCTTTGTCCGCGGCGAGGACGACGCGCGAGGCGCATCACGTATTAATTATAAAAGGCGCATTCACGCGAGACCAGCGACGCCGCCGCGCGCCACTTAAGCGAGAGGAACCATGCAGTTTTATTCATAAATGCGCCACCGACAGTTATTCGCTCTCTCTTCTCTCTACGCGGCTTGCGATACCGACCTTTCATTTTTCTCGTCGCGCGTCTTTCCGAGCGCGGAGCTGCTGGACGGCAGGCTGGTCCGGATGAATATCACCTTGAAATAATTACCGGGTTCCGGCCCGCGACCTTATCTTCCTCAATCGAATTACACTCCGGGTTTCGTCTCGCTGCGCCCGGGATTAATCGATTTACGAAGATTTTTTCGGGACCTTCTGCACGGGAAGGTAAATTGCGTGTTGGACTCTTGATTACTGAGAAGAGAAACTGCACGGATTTTTTGTCGGTCGAATAATTGGATTATTTGTATGCGGCCTTTTATTTTCGTGTCGAGTGTTCGGTGCCGCGAACATGGCGATCCCGTATCTCCTCGAACTGTTAATAGATTTCTGTAAGGGAGCTCTGTGTACTCTACCGTCACGGTAAAAGTATAAATGGATTCTGGGAAAGTAATTAATGTATTGACGCGGGGAGGCTATCAGACGAAATGTTGTCTTATCTCCTCGGAACTCTCAGGCACGTTTGCTCACGAAAGAGGGCATCGGATCGATTTTCCTGTACAGAACTACATAGAAACTCGCACCGAACGAACACACTCTCGCGGCGGGGATAACGTGGCTCACCAGATTCGTTCGGATCGTTTAACATTCGACTATAGCCGAACACATTTATGTCCACCAGTTACGAGTTGTACGACGTGCCCTAGAAACGTACCGGCAAAATTTACTTTCGCTCGTGCTCGTTAATAACGATCGACGGGAAAAAATCAAGTTTGCCGGCTAATAGATTAGCGAAATTATATAAACCAGCGACGTTCAGCGGGAACACACCGCGGGACACGTTAAATATCCCGTTCACGAGCACCGGGAGACTTATCGAACGCGAAGTTAACTCGTAAGAGGATTAGGAAATTATTTCCACGGAACCATAACACTTTAATATAATTATTTCTCGCAGAGCAGCGACTTTTTGCGTTCCCCGGTGCTCGCGTCGGACTCTCGTTGCGATGCGCCCGGGATCGTTTGCAGTCGGTTATCCGAGGTAGCAGTCGTAAGTGGTTAACTGTACATCTCGGAGGAAACGTTCTTCTAGCCACGGGCTCGCTCCGTGATCCGAATATCTCAATATCTCGCGATTTGTCTGCGCTTATCGTATTTTACATCTGAACGGCCTACTCGGCGCGGCGTGGATTGCTCCGCGTTTAAAGGCGAAGCATCGGAGTAAATAGAGAGGAACGGAATAGTCGCTTTTGAGATCGAAAGTAGGCTCGGAATCTAGCTGTGCCGGCTATTTTTTGCGTCCCCCTTCCGCCGGCTTCCACGCGAATCGCGGAAACACGTCATCCGGCTGTTAAGGATCCTGCCCGGCGAAAAGCAGGTCGCGACTCATTGAAGGAAACGCGCTGGACCCGAACGACCGACGGATCACGCGCTAGATCTTCCAGTAGTCTCTTTCCAGCTTCCTCCAATTAGCCGGAACTTTTGTTGGTTCTTCGATACACGGCCACCTCCGATAGGGGCGGAGATAATCTTGACCTTAATCGCAACATCGACGACGCCGAAGCTGTACAACTGGCCGGGTTTATTGCTGAATTCATTATGTACACGGATTATGCGCCTTAAATGGTTCATCCGACCGTAGAAGATCCTGTTTTGGGCTTAGGCGATGTCAGTTAACGCGATTAACGACAGGAGAGTTTCGATTCGACTGTCAGCCCTTATCGGAGGGGTCATACAAACGACTTGACTAGTAATTCAGCGCATACAATGTTCTATACGTCGATTTTCCACCTTTTTGTACATGGTTTCACGTGATCTTCGTATAATTCTGTTGTTCTTTTTGTACACAACCAAACGAGATCCGTCTAATAGACAGTACGCGACCGGTGTACAATAGATGCAAGAAATGAGATGAAGAAGAATCTTATATAAGCCGAGTATTGTGAAGACAACGTTGCGTGCACGTGTAAGTACACTACCGGTCAGAAGTTCCGAGTCATTTGCCGCATTCAGCGAAATTACATAGCGTGACAAATTTTCTTTTAACATGATCATTTGTAGAGTCGGTCGCCGAGATCTCGTCGGATTTTCTAGATTTCTACAGTTAATCTTCTGACCAGTGGAGTATTTATTAACGTACGAATTTGCCGATTATTCTATCGTTGTTCTCGATAAAGTGTATTCCTAATTTGGTTGTTCCTCTTTGTTGCCACAGGGTGTCCCAGCTGATGGAAGCGATCGAGAGGGAATGCGGCGTGGTCGCGGCGCACCAGGTGCTCCTGATGAGCGGAGGCGAAAGCCTGGAACCGAACGCGCGTGTATGCTCCTACTCGGCCGGAACCGACACGAATCCGATCTATTTGTTCAGCAAGGCCGCCATTGAGAGCCACCTTCCACCCACGCCGAGCATAGATTATGGTTCCGGTGAGTGACGAGCTTCTTCACCTGTGAATGTATCCTTAGCTTATCACGGTTCGCCGAGTCCTCTCCTTTTGCTTCCTGCCCGCGCTCGTCCGTCGAAAGAAAAACAAAGGGACGAGAACAACTTGTTCTGTTCGACGGCAAACTTTCCGCGCGTTTGGAATTTCGCACGAGGCGATTAAACGGTATCGACTGCCGCGTCGACGGTTGCGAGTTTTTCGAGTGAAATTCAAATTCCGCCAACAGAACCGGTTAATAGATTTGTTGTTTGTTGTTTAATCGCGGGACCAAAGTTCCCAGGCATAATGTCCCGGAGAGCCCACGATAAAGCGGTCGTAAACTTTTCGCGGAGTCAAGGGGAACACCTCTGCACTGTCATTTACGAGCCGGTATCCTTGAAATGTCACGTTGCAGGTTTAATCGGCAGCCCGCGGACGATAATGACGATTCCCGCATTCGTCTCGCGATACCGATCCCGATTCGTCTGTCGTCGCTGGTTCGGCCTCCGTCGATCCGTCGTCGCGTTCCCTTTAAATATTCATGGTCCGTTATTCAACCGCGAAGGTTCATCAGCGTGACCAGAGAACAACCACGGAAAGTCTGCGGTCCGCGTAAGAGATTTTGCATCATAATGCTACATTTACATACCGCGGAACTAAGAATCGAGCTTATGTAACGAATCTATTCGTAGTGATTCGCGTGCTCGCTGTTATCCCGTCTGCCGATCATATATGCTCGTTCAATTTAGCCGGACTGGCTCGGTAATCGGGACACTTACTCAATGTCCATCTTTTTATAACCGCCATCTTCAGAAGTATCCACGTAACGTTGTAATCGAGTGAAATGATTCCTGCCCCTCGAACGTTCGTGTATCTGGTTACCGGCGGGACCGCGATTCCCGCGGAGCAGTTCCACGAATAATTCACGCCGCTCCGAGCTGCGCGTTTTCTGGCTACGAACGGCAACAATCATTCGAGCTTCTCGCATCGTAACCGCGTGCGTGACCAAAATAATATCTCGGGACGAGATAGCGGTCGAGAGGAGGCACGTCCCTCGGCGACACTGGGCTGCCTTCGTTAACCGAGAATCGTGCCGGAAGGACGCTGCTAATAACGATCCTTATCGGCGAGCGTCCGCGGGCGGGCAAAGAGGAAAAAAGGAGTTAGATGATATTAGCGCGACGACAACGATATCCGCGCGGCGGGGGAGAGGCAGGCCGCGAAGGTTGTCTCTTTGTGCCGGGCACAACCGAGAGGCTCACGGTACCGTAAACGGGCACAATAGGAAACGTCAGCCGGTCGTTTCGTTACTTTTTCGTCACCGCGTAACGGTTTGTACCGTCAGGGCTCTGTATTCTGAGCCGTAAGAACACCGAAACAAAATCACCTCGCTGCGTAGATAATCTTCAGGTATGTTTGCGAGAGCCTGGGGTCTAGGGTAGCGAGGTCACGTAAACATTGACGATTATGAAACGGTCAAATGATCTTTCGTAGCTGAACTTGAATCTTTTCGTTTCGTCCGTCTTACAATTTTATAGTTTGATCATTTCATAGTTTCAGCGTGTAGCAATGTTACCAATTCACCACTTCTATCGCTGTTGTCATCTCGAATCATCCCCGTATCGATCGCGAATCGACCATCGCGGCGTCGCCACGTCGAGGAAACGGGGCGTCTAGACGAGCGTCTACTTGGTCGACAAGGCTTCGAAGGAAATCGGGTCAGCCATGTTTTCCCTTCACCCGGAGCCTGCATATCGGCTCGTCGATGTCCGTCCCGCCGCGTTCTACGGGCCCCGTAAAGGGACTCTCTCCGGCTGGAACGCTAAACGATATGTTAACCGCGCAATTTCCATACCGTTACGCAGTTAAATGCCCTGCCGTACATTCGGCTCGGTATTACGCCTCTCGATCCTATGTTACGACGATTACACCGGCAAGCTATGATTTCACTAGACGAGCGCGCTCCTTGCGGTGTTCCCGGTGTGCCGCGGCGATTCGACCGCAAATCAAACGCGTTACGAGCCCGGTACCTGGAAACGCTCGCTCGGAAACACTGCAATCGCAACCGGGAATCGTTTGCGTTATCCTCTGGTCGCTTCTCTTGTAGTTTGCGACGCGACGCGGGTCTAAATTACATTCGATATCCGCGCTCTTGGCTTCTTCATGGGAATTCAGCGCGTCGAGGCTCCGAGGATATTCCCATTGATTGCGCCGCGGAATTAGATGCACGATTATTTTGTACAATTTGTATACGTCCGTTGCAGCGGTTTGATAACCGTTTAAAACGTTACTTTATTTCATTCGTTAAATAGTTTTTCAAGAACCTGTGTCGAGTGCACGCGAGATCCTTTATCGCGAGGGAATATTTAATCGCGATTCCATGTTTTCATATTTGTTTAGGAATTCGTGTGAGATAGTTGTCGAGCGGTGTTCCTGATAGGGACGAGGACTGCAGCGTAGTAGACCGACGCTTCGAGATCACAAGACCATCATCTTTGTTTGTTTATCTCTCCACATTCTATCTATCACCAATTTTATCTTCTTTCAATTCCATTATTCATTGCACGTCCATTCGAAAAATCACGAAGCAGAGGAAACCATTAAAACTCTGGAACCCGCGTTGAAACTTTTAAAACAGTAATAAAGTATTCGAGATACAAGCTTTCCGTTGCTCCGTATAAAGTATCTCGAAACAGGCGGGAACACAAAATAAAGAAATTCACGAAGGAGATGTTCACACAGCGGAGTGCTGGCCGGCCCGGCTATCTGTTTTTCAATCACCTTATCTTCATCTCCGGCACTTTTTCCCGGAATAATCCCTTCCATGTTTTCCCCCATTTAGAACCGTGGAAGAATTTTCGTTCATTTTCATTCCTTCCCATCCATCCATTTCATCCTCGCCGCCTCGGGTTTCATGCGGTAATTCACGTTCCTCGACGCGTTCCGGTAACGCGACCGCAGAGACCACTCGTACCCGTTGCGATGCACTTCGCGTTGACCGCTTCAACCGGCTCCCGATGAAGTAACGATCAAGTTCGCTCTTATCGCCTCGCACTTTCGATTTTCGCGGCGAATCGCGCGCCGGCTGCACTCGTCGCGGCATCGCCGTAAAATCCTGGATGCAACGCGCGTCCATGATGCTTGATTTCGCCTCGGGTAATTTCTGTTTAAAAAAAAACGAGCATTTGCATATGATGCTCCTAACGAATTATTTTCCCGGGACTTTGTTTCGAATCGCGGAAAATGTTTGTTTCGAAAGCTCGGGCTTTCAGCGAGGAAAATAAAAAACACGTAACGTTTAAACAGTATTACCGTGAAAGTCGTAAAAAGTACTGGCCGCTACTAGCGAAAACGAAATGTTTGTTTTCGTCCGGACGTGAGCGCACCGGCGGGCACCTTTGTTTTATCAGACTAAATTTAGCGATAATTGCGCGTATTATACTTGAGATTTTACGACGGAACGATCGGCACGGTGTGCTGGCGTCACAGACGAAATTGTCGACGCCTTATCGTCCGTTTGCGCAACCGACTGTCTTTCGGCAAATTCTGGTAGACATCTCGCCCGTAATCACCTCGCAATCCGATGTCTGATTCACGTACCGTCTGATTAGAACGAGACTGTTGTTTCGTTTCCGCTCGAAAATAATCCTTGGAACTTGTAACGCCGTTTCCCGCGCTTGCGCGCAGATAACGGTGTATCTTCGACGGTTCTTCCATCAACAAAACAGCTTTTTTCTAAAAATTCTTTCGCCCCGGGCGATGACTCTTGCAAATTTTTCGCAACGCCGAAGATATACGTATCGCTTCAAAAAGTGGCTCACAGACTTTAGACTCGTAGAGTTAATCCTAGTCATTCATTCGATTATAAACTCTCCGTTATTTAATCTTCGCAGTCTCAGCTTTTAATCTTCTTAATTTTTTCCTGCGCCGACAGCATTCGTGATACCCCTGAAACACTCTTCATCCGATCTACTGTTCGCTCCGTGATCAGCAATTTTTTAACGATCGTTAAACAACAGATTATAAACTGCATAAACAAACAAACCAACTCGAACCGAATAAACGAAAAAAATGGAAACGTGCCGTCTATCGCTAATCCGGGGAGTATCATCGCGATAATCCGAGCCTCGCTCTCGTTGTCATTCATCCGTTTCATAAGCACCGGTCGATTAGCTAAAGACTGCAAGCTGATTTATCGAGTGGTCATTAATATTTATAATCGCCACGGAAACCCTTGACACGACGGCGCTGCGCGAGCCTCTAGCGCCCCGGTGCACGCCATGTTTTTCTCCGGCCGCGTTTTTGTCTCTTCGCTCACATTAGCGGCGTTGTAAAGCGTCACGGCCGACTTCTTCTTTCCTTTAATCAACGATTCAAGCTCCGGTTTACGGGCGCGGGAAGAAGAGGAGACGAGCCGTTAATCGACTGTCCCTTTCTTATCGGCACCGGTTTCGAGGAACGATCGCAGACGCAACAAGACTTTGACCCCCGTCAACGAGCCCCGTGACCATCTTCGACCTGATTCTTTTATCCGACGGATAACGATCTGCGGCCGCGCTGTGCGCGTCCATTCGCGCGACCGGATCGCCGTCTTCGTCAATTTCGAGGCGAAACTAGGTCACCTCGCTGCGCCGTTTTCTAAGCAAAATTGGTTAATTGACGCCACGTGAGCCGGGGAGCTGACTCCACCGATCCGAGGGACAACGAGGCCCCTGGATGGGATGCGCCGCTTAAAAATAGGCGGATTTGTGGTCAAGTCATCGCGATTGAACGCTCCTTTCGCGACGCGATCACGCGAGTTCCGCGAGGGACGAGCAACTGACAGTCATCCGGACGAGAAACGACGGGACGGTTACGGAAGTTGCAGTTAACAGTCGATTGGTATCGTGATTTTTAGGTTGAGGAAATAATATTGTTGCAGATCATTTGGAAGATTTCCTCGGATTATCGTAGACCGGTGTTCGGTAGGAATGAGGAACAACGGAAAAGTGATTAGCGATTAGA